AATATAAGACCTGTATAAATATACGGCTAGTAACAATTAAAGATAAATACCAACGGTTATGGATAACTACTAACTAATCTTATCATAATCAACAGACACCTAAGAGATATATACCCGTACATATACATATCTCATTATGTATTCATAATGATGTATATCAATATAAATATAAATACTCTAATAAAGCCCCGTTTGTTTGGGTGTATTAATGATCGTATATAATAAGAACTCGTAGCCATATTTAATTATTAAACGACAAATCAAAAGACTTGAAATCTAATGGCTAATGATTGTGACTTTGTTGCCAATAATATAGGTATATAATGGGAAAAAAAAGAAAAAAATAAAAAAAAAGTTCATGGTGAGGGTGGCAATAGACCCGGGACCCAACGAAATAGACTCAGGACCCGACGGTTATGAATATGGGTCCAACTTTTGGACCGATAGTGTTTGGGTCTAAAACCCGGACCCCTTCATGTACCTCATCTTTAAAGTAAACTCTCATGCCAAGCTGCTTTTAATAAACTCTCAAGATAAGTGAAGTGGGGTCGTACCCAAAATTTTGTTCTTTCACATAAATGTAGCGCTCATGTGTTAATAGATGTCCTCATACAAGTCTTTAGTGTTTATCGGCTCATGTAAGGTTGGTACGTTTGATTCAGTTTCTTTTGATGTATTTAATAGTGCTTAGATTCTCATGACTTATCCTTTGAGTGGTCATTGCTCTAGGAAGTATTACCAAAGGGTTTTAGTATTTGGTAGCACATATTTGAGGCATAGACTAAAGAGAAGAAAAATTCTCTCATCTATCTTAGCAGCTTTAATGGGAAGAGAACTCTTGTAATTTGTTGGAGCATAAGGATATATATTAAAATGGAATAAAGAGGATTCACCAGAGCGATCCAAATATATGTAAGCTTTGTCAGTTGCCAAAGACTACTGGGTTCTTAAAAGATGTGTTACCGCGGGCGTTATTTTATTCAGTTTGCGCAACTGTATATAATGCTCGGTGTACCATCCTCATGCATGGATGCGACTGACTACCCTTAGGTAATATGTAAAAGCGATTTTTAGTCTTTCTCGTGATAGAGTGCCAATAAAGTTTCCATGGGTGTCAAAATTTCACTAAAATATATTGATAATGTACTTATAGCAAATGCATTAAATCTCATTACGTGACAAAACAATTGTTAGTCTGTGTTTGCAGCTTGATCTAAGCAATGCCTATGATAGAGTTTCATGGAGGTTCTTATAGATAGGGTTCTAGAATTGAGGTTTCCTCCTCCGTCACTTGGTTAAAGCACATTATTACCACACCATGCTTTTCGGTAGTTCATTTTAACGGTATTAGAGGTCTGTGGCATGACGACCCACTCTATACTTTCTTTTTCTTGTTGGTTATGGATATCGCAAGTAAATTGTTAGATAAGACATCTCATAATGGTTCTCTTCCCATTGCTTTTCCTTTTTGCCTATAATTATGGCATCATACATCCCCTATATGCTGATGACATCTTGATATTCTGTGAAGCCTCCAGCGAATCTGTCTATGAGATTAAAGGTATCATGGATTCTTTTTGTTCAACTATGTCTCGGATGCTAAATAGTTCAAAAAGTAGGTTCCTTTATTTTCGGGGTTTGAATCCGATTTAATTCACATATTTTAGAGTAACTTTGGTTTGGAGAAGGTTAGCAGTTAGTTAAATACCTTGGTAACCCCCTATTTCATGTCCAACTAAAACACTGTCATATGCTAAACGTCCTTAGATTCTAATTTCTTTTTTTGAGTGCCTTTTTTATTTACTGGCTATGTTCCTTTTCCTTGCCAAGTTATGCTTGCTGGGTTATAGAAAAATTTCAATGTAATTTTCTCTATCTAGGTACACCAGAAAACAAAGGTTTACACCTTGTGAAATAGATGTCAATGTGTTTACGGTCGGATGAGGGGGGTCTGGTGATTCAATGACTTAAAAGACTTCAATATGGCTAGTATGATGAAGCTTGTTTCGAATCCCGTTTCTCTAATTGCAAGCTTCTTCAAACACAGATATTATCAGAATCGTTCTAGCTGGCAGGCTAAAAAAGGAAATTGCACCCATGTATGGAGGGGCATCTTCATGGGTCTTAACATGTTGCAATGTAATGTGAATTGGATTGATGGTAACATTAGATCTATGGACTTCTTGGCAGACCCAGGGCTTTCAGAGAAATCGCTAGGGAAATTTATGGTCTTAATATTCACAAAGATCTAGGTACACTTGTGAAATATAAGGTGCCAAACTATCTACAAGGTATTCCTTGATACTGATCCCTCGCAAATCCCATCTCAAATGCACTCATTCGAGCATGGGTGGAGGTCAAATCTCAGGTTGTTCCATTCAAACTGCGTGACGATCTATTGGTATGGATTCATTCTCCAAATGGTCAATTCTCAATCTAAAAAATGCATGGGATCATATAAGATAGAGGAGCAACATTTTAGCTCATCTTCAGAGTCTTATGGTCTTCCACTTCTCATCCTAGAGCCAAATGGGTCACTTGACTTTCTGTACACCCTCGCTCCCCACAACTTGCAGTTTTCATTGGCTTCTAGATGTCCTTCTATTATTCTTTTTTACAAGTGTCATGGTGATCCTCATTTGGAGGTATCATAAAAATAGATGGCATTAGAGCAATTCATCTATCCCTTGTAGTAAAATGGATCAGATACTGATTCAAACTAGAGGGGCTTTGCAACATGTGATTGTTCCTCTTCCCCACCATAGGTTTTTAGTAGTTTTGGTTGGAATGGAACTCACAAATCTTCGTGTAAGAAAACTGGACAGGAACGACTTCTCAAACGCATTATCCACCATGTTGTTTTCCTAGCTGTATTAAAATGTTGGCTCTTTCATGTTTCTGAAAAGTGTATTATCACGAACATGAGGACTAAATGGCATGCTTAACCCCCCACCCCCAACCCCCGCCCCCGTCCCTGACTCTGGTTTCTTCAAACTTAATATTGATGGCTCTTCCTTGAAAACCCTGGAGTCACTATTTGTGGAGGTATCCTCGAAGATGATGGAGGCAGGTTCCTAACAACTTTTGTATCTCCATTGGGTGAATCCTCAGATAACGTTGCCAAATCAAAAATCGGTATAAGATTGGAAAATGCAATGAATTGCTTCCGCCTTCATATTCGAAGTGACACCCAGCTACTGGTCGACCCCTGTGAAGGTTAGGCACTGCTACAAATTGCTCTGTCCTTTCTATCTATGTTGGTCCCGATTGAAGATTCAAATACTTCTCATGAGCCTAACATGGTCACTGATTGCCTAGCAAAAAGGTGTTCACCCTTCCAGAGGTTACAATATGAAGGTCACAGCTACCAGATTTTTTTGCTTTCCTACTCTCATACAATTTTGCTTGCTTCCCCTTTATAAGGTTGCAAAATGATCTCCATTTTACCATATTTCTTTTTTTTTTCTAATAAAATGGTAGGGGCCCAAATCTCTACTTCTTACAAAAAAAAAAAACCAAAATGAAAAGTGTGATTGATAAGATCAGTGGTGTGAGCACTTGCTTGAATCGTGACGGGATTGGAAGGAGGCCACACCGGCCCAAAACAGTCACCTTTTTCTCCCTTTTTTTTAATTGGTGTGGCTATCGGGCCCAAAACAATCACCTCTTTCTCCCCTTTTTAATGGGTACAACTTTTATACAATCACCTCTTTCTCCCCTTTTTAATGGGTACAACTTTTATACAATCACCTCTTTCTGCCCTTTTTAATGGGTACAACTTTTATAAGGTTACGATGAGATTAGAGTATTTTACAACATTCATTTTAATTGGTGATATAGATTTGATGTATCCTTCAAAACAATATAAAAAACTAGTACATAGTTTAAAACATTGTCAAATCGATAACATCAAAATAAAATGCATTGTTACCTTTCATGTTACAACCACACCTCTAAAAAACCATGTTTTTGGCATTTATATGACTCCAAATTTTGCTCACACTCTTTTCATCCTTAATTAATCTTACGAAAAAAAAAATTCAATTTTCACCTTAGAAATCAAAAATAGTACCCTCTAACAATGAATCTTGACATTCCTTTTGGTTGATTTTAAGATCTAGGCTTTCACAAATTCAAAAATCATTTTTTTCTTTCTTAGCATTGTTAATCTAATGATAATAACTCTATATAAAAATTTTGGGAATAAAAAAATCCTTATGTGGCCTATATCTAACCATCTCACTAAAATAAATGGTTTATATGAATTGAGCTAGAAAAACACTTTCTACAATATTTTTTTAAAATTTTATTTTTTGTGATTATTCTTTAAAGTTAAAAGAATATATATTTAAAAATTTGAATCAAACAAATATCTCTAACATCGTTTTTTAATATGATTGCAACAGTTGCATGAAATCATTTCCCTGTTTAAACCTTCTTGTCGGAACTTTAATACGGATACTATTCCCAAGTCAATTCGAGACCTAAGAAGTGAGAACCAAGTGACTCCCCACCATAGAACCCCTGAAATTCCTCTGTCACCTATTGCTCTTAATTATTGTAATCTCAATATTATTTATGGATCGGGTTTTGGGCCTGAGCTCGGAATTATTTATGGATATATGGATCCAGTTTTGGCATGGGCCCTGATATACCGATAGTAATTATCCATTTCAGTTGTCACCAAAAGTAGTGCAAGCCCTAAAATTTATATTGTAAGTGCAACAAAAGTTGCACCCAAAAATCAAAATAAAAGTTGTTTGAATGCGATCAATGTACCTATTTCCGGCAAACATTTTTCCTTTATAAGTTTACAAGTTTAAAAAAAGGCCATAACCACACAACAGAAGGACAGAAGGACAAGGCAAAAAATACGAAATGTGAAAGAAATATCATTAAACATCATATTTAGAAGAAAAGCGCGAGCACCCCATGCAAAATTGGATTATATACAAAGGGAGCACAACCACTCACTCTTACATACATGCTTTTTTTTTTTTTGGCGAGTCTGGGAGAGGGCCCTCCCCCTTGGTAGGATTGAGATTAGGACGTAGCGATGCAAATCGTCAAGTGTTAATCAATTAAGCCCGGGTTCTTTTTCTACGTACACCCTTTTCTCCCAAAGTAAAAACGAAAAGAAATAATAATAATAAAAAAAGGACCCACCAAAAATAAGAAAAAAAAGCAATAACACAAGGTAAAGAGAGGAGAAAACTTGAAACAATCATCTATTTTAATGATGGTTTGATGACTATGAAACGCTTGAACTGGCTAAATTTTCTCCACTCCAAAGCTATATCTGATGCAACTTTCCTAGCATCTTGGGCAGCACCCAATATGCCTCTATTAGTGAAGCCCACACTATATAGCCCCTTCTCCCCCTTCCATCCATTGGGAAATGGCATTTTGGGCATTCCATCTTCCGAAAAGAAATCACATTCCTGCATCATACAAAGTCATCAGGAGTCAACATACATGCATGCCTATATGCACATGCATACATAATCATGAACCTCATATATCTATAAATGTTTGTTAACATGTACACATACCATGATTTCATTCATGCATTTTAAACTAGCCACCAATGTTCATGAATGGATCACATAAGTACGTATGAGATAGGCATGCTTGATCTCATTAAACCCATGATCTCATCAAACCCATGCTTATTAGGGCCACCGGCCACTAAACCGATGAAGGGATTTGGTCCTACTAAAACTGGTTCAAATTGACTTGACATTGCCTTGGTCAAGTAGTTTTTTTATGAAAAAAATAAAAAATAATAAAAATATTTAAAAAATATGAAATATATTATGTATAAATTCCGAATCAATAGATTGTTCTCAAATATGTATAGAAGTCCTTAGCATTACTTAGAAGTTTTGGACCGCGAGAAACCATAAAGAGTAAAGAGTGTCGTACTTTTCAAGACGAATCTTATTCACTAAATCAACAAACCGCAAGAATAGCAGCCATGCCTACATTAATTACACTATACATGCATACACGCAATCATAAATACGCGCATCATGCACCCTTCCATAGGCAATCACATGCACATATATATAGATTTGGCTCATAAACATAAAGGGATAAGTTCAAAGGAAAAGTCTGGAATACGGTTTAGGAAAAAATGAATAATATTTTGCCCAGCAAGTTTTGTTTGAAAAGTCAAAAGCTGTTATGTCCATATGTACTATAATCAACACACATAGTATGTCCGTTGCAGTCGATTTATCCACACCGTCTGAAAAAATGGATGGCACCAAGCCTATTGGTGAAAATACTATTTATTTTCGCCAATGGACATTGTGCAGTAGCTTCCAACATCAAATATCAAGAATATAATATAGGAAAAATGGTTTACTAGGGCGGCTGCCCTATCAAAATAAGTAAACCCTCACTTCAAAACTCGCTAAAAATCACAAATCTAGTGTGAAAAACCTTCAAATAGTTCGGACTTGAAAATTACGGCAGTGAAAAAAAAGAAGGATTTCTAAACATTAAAAGAATGTATCTTGTAACAAATTATCTATACCATCACTTTCGCCCTATATTTAAGTGTTTATGGATCCCCAAATTCTGTGCTCTTTCTTGAGCTTCAAATTCATAGTATTAGAAATTGATTTTAGAGTCATCATGGAGATTTCCAATGCATGTTTTCGGATAAGAATTTGAAGTGAAGCTTTACTAGTTTTCAAAAAGCCTAGGCCTTGTGGAAACTTTATCCTAGAATATAAACATATTATGCATATACATGCCTACATAACCATATACATAAAATAGTCACTTAGTAAGAAGTCTTTATGTACATGATTACCACTCACATAAAAGAGAGATGTCCAGTCCAGAGATCCTTAGTGGCTTAATGATGATCATTAATGGTTACAGTAAGACGAAATCATAGTCTAAACACTAAATAAGTAAAATCTTATTCCTATTCTCGTGGGAACCCCATAACAATAATGACAAACACTATATAAGCAAAGCTTTTTAGTATCCTCGTGGGAAAGGAAAAGCAGCAAAATCATATAAAGAACACCATTCTTTCTATAATTAATCCAATGCCATGGCACTTTTTTCTATTGTGGGAAGGGGAGAGAAACAGAGAAAATATAACAATGATTTCATATTCTCGTTTTTAGAGAGAGAGAGAAAGGAGAGAAAGTAGAGAGAGAAAGAGGGAGAGAGATGTATTGATGATGATGTTGATGTTTCGTGAGAACAAAGTCAAATTATCACGAGATACCCAATAGTGTAAGGCTATTATAATGAGAGGAAACAAGGAAATCTTATAACAATCTCACTTTTTCCTTAAGAAATTAAGGCCAAAAACATGCTTTTTGCTCCATGAAAGAGAGATCTATCTCTAGAGAGAGAGAGAGAGCTTTTTTGTTTAGAGAGAGAGAGAGTATTTTTTTTGTTCAGAGGGAGAGAGGAGAGAGAGAGAGAGAGAGAGAGAGATCACGCATACCTTGAGCCAAGTGGGAACGTTGCTCTTGTAGCCGGTGGCCAAGATAAGGGCGTCGAATTCCTTTTCTTCTCCGTTCACGAATTTGGCTCCACGGTGCGTCACTTCTTTCACCCCACCCATGACCTGATCATCATCACATCACAAAATCAGCTCAGCTACTGAAGCACACAAAACGTGAAACTTAACCTAGAGAGACAGAAAAGAGTAATGGATTCCGCTTTTTTTTGACTTGAGATGATGAGGGGGAAAGAAAGCTCCTTTTTCTCCTCCACATTTCTCTATAACCAAGAAAGAGAACTACTTAAAATTTACTTTCTTAAGCGAGAGTGAGGGCAACAACTTTCCGTCTTCAGAGCAGTGCAGGAAAAATCGGGCTGTTCAAAATCTAACTACCTGATTAGACCACTGGCCACTAGCTAAAAAAAAAATATAAAAATCTAAAAAATATGAGATTTTATTTGTTTTATATATATTTTTAATGTTTTTCATCTTTTTGGTAAAGTTTGGAAACTATTTTGGCCATTAAAATTTATTTTTTACATTTTTTTTTTTAATTTTAAAAAATACCCCTAATCGCAAATACATTAATTAAATTTTATTTTAGATGTGCCTTTTTTTTTTTTAATCATGTTTTAAATATATTTATCATATTTTATTATTTTTTTTATCTTTTTATTTTTAATACTTTTTCAACCATCTAAGACTTTTTTGCCGCCGATCCAACCGCTTCCCACCCCATATCCAGTTAATTGTTGCAGTTCCATTTTTTCAACACTACGCGAGAGAGAACAAACTCTCCTCCAAGTACACTTTATTGAGTTCCAACCATCTACTAAAATCGGGCAGAAAGAGAGCGACATTTTGCTTTTCTAGTTCGAAGTTCGAACCTCTACCATTGTCGGAACGAGCCACTCGGGTAGGGTCGTGTACTCGACTCGGCCTACTCAGTCCAAGCCCGAGAAAGTTGGCCCCCAGCCCCAAGTAGCCTATTAACTAAATATAAAAATATCCTACAAAATAGGAAAAATATGTTTAAAGTAAAATTAAACAAAACAAATCAAAAAGAGGTTAAAAAATAGTGAAAAAAGAACTTAAAAAAATCAATATCTAAGGGGGGAGTTGTATTTTGGCATACATATGCACCCGTTATGCATCCATAGCTGTAGAGGTAAGGTGCACCTTCAAATTTTATCATTATATATAATTTGGATGTAAAATGTTATTAGGATTATCTCAAAATCTATTTTTATATCTAATTATAAAATTTTAAATTTTAAAAATGATTAAAATCAAGTAGATGTATAAGCATATGAAAATCTTGAAAATAAACGGTGTAGATAATGTTGTAAAATACACTATTTCTAATACTTAAAATCTTTTTGTTTTTCATGATCATACATCTCGATATCGAGATGATCAATCAAAGAGTTTTTCAACATTAAAACTATCTTTTCCAATGGATTTTTTAAGTGCATCCGTAATTCTACATTATAAGGTTACATCCTTATATAAACTTTTTCCTTCTAGAAATAATCCGAAAAGAAAGAAAATATATATAAAAAAGTCTTCCTGCCAAAACACTTCACAATCTTGATATTTTATATTACAAATAAATTCCTCATTTTTTTAAAATTTTATAATATTTGGCTAGTCCGATTTACTTGGGGTTGGGAGTCCAACCTCATCAATCATCATCGTCAAAGACTTTTACTTGGGTTGTGTCTGCCGAACAATTTGCTTTATAAGCAACACCAACCACCGGAAATACAAGAATGTTTCTTTCTCTAAAAGTATGCATGAATGGTATGCACGTACCTTGATGCCCCCACTCTTGATTTTAGAGAGTGCACCCACATCCAATACTGGGGTTTTCCCTGACCCGTTCTTCAGCTCGATGGGCCCAATACTGGGCCTTCTAAGCCCATATTTCTCAGTTCTACCCAGCATCAAGTTAGCCATTAGTAGTAGAAACTTGTCCACTAATTTCAAAGGGAAGAAGTTGAGCAAACTCATGGCTACTCCAAAAGTAGATATCCCAAACATATCTCTAGGTAGAATGTGCACCTACAAACACAAAACACAAAAAGACTCAGAGAGAGAAGACCTAAATTTCATTTGAGAGAGAGAGAGTTTCTGTGGAGAGAGAAATGGAGAAAGTGGATTAGACATACAAGAGAGAGAGAAATAGAGATCATTAAAGTGGATTAGACTTATAGAATGGAAGTTTACAAGCTCTTGCACCTCTTTTGGAGAAAGGATTGTAACAAACAGGTAAGTAAAAACATCAGGAAATGAAAACCAGGACTACTTTGAGAGAGAGAGAGAGAGAGAGAGAGAGAGAGAGAGAGAGAGAGAGAGAGAGAGAGTAGAGAGAG